CATGTTGGCCAGGCACCATGTTGGCCAGACTGATCTTGAACTCCTGACCTCAGGCGATCCACCCACCTCGACCTCCCAAAATGCTGAGATTACAGGCGTGAGCCACCACGCCCAGTCTTATTGCTGCTATTCTTAATGCCACTGCAGAACTTTATTTTCTTTTCTCCTTGACTAATATTACCTAACTATGTATACTGTACCAGAAATGCTCTCAACAGAGTGTGGAAAACATACAGAATCTTGGAGACGGTGAGTGGGCTAACTGGTAAGTACCAGCAGAGTTTCTCATAGATGCTCATCATAGGTGCTCAGAGTGGGAACATAAAAGAACAATAATCTTTTTTCTTATTCATAATTATATTGATCTTTTCATAACATGAGAGCATATACTTCATATCTGGGACTGTAAGAGATTAATAGCTTTATTTTTATATCTTTTCAATCTAATCCCCAGTTAATTTTTTTTTTTTTTTTTTTTTTTTTGAGATGGGTTGTTGTTCTGTTACCCAGGTTGGAGTGCAGTGGTCCAATCTCAGCTCATTGCAATGGCCCAATCTCAGCTCACTGCAACTTCTGCTTCCCTGGATCAAGCTATCCCCCTACCTCAGCCTCCTGAGCAGCTGGAAATACAGGTGTGTGCTACCACACCTGTCTACTTTTTTTATTTTGGGAGAGATGGGGTGTATTAGTCCATTTTCATACTGCTATAAAGAACTGCCAGATGGCCAGGCGTGGTGGCTCACGCCTGTAATCCCAGCACTTTGGGAGGCTGAGGTGGGCGGATCACTTGAGGTCAGGAGTTTGAGACCAGCCTGGACAACATGACGAAATCCCGTCTCTACTAAAAATACAAAAATTAGCTGGGAGTGATGGCACACACCTGTAGTCCCAGGTATTTGGGAGGCTAAGGCATGAGAATTGCTTGAACCCAGGAGGCAGAGGTTGCAGTGAGCCGAGATCATGCCACTGCATTCCAGCCTAGGTGACAGAGTGAGACTTTGTCTCAAAAAAAAAAAAAGAGCTGCCCGATGGGTCATTTGAGGTCAGGAGTTTGAGACTAGCTTGGCCAACATGGTTAAAACCCCATCTCTACTAAAAATACAAAAATTAGCTGGGTGTGGTGGTGCGCACCTGTAGTCCTAGCTGCTCTGTCTCAAAAAAAAAAGTTTGCGATCTTCATGAGCGCACTGACTGCAATAATGCTGAACACTGTCAAGCAAAGAAAAGTCATTCTCCCTTCATTTCTTCCAAGTTTGACTTTGAAGGAGACAGAAAGTTTTCTTATTAGGCATTGTTTTTGTTCATGTGCTCAGATATAGCAAGCTAGTAAATCTGTCAGAGAAAAGATTTACATTTCTCAGGAGATTGAACATTCACACCAGCCAGCATTCCCATCAAGGAATATGAATACATAAATGTACATATACTTGAACCTCTACAGTTGCTGTTTCCAGTGTTTTAAGCTTCAGTTCATGTGCTCGTTGACATATGAGAGTCTTCCCTTTTGAAAGTCCAAACAGATTGAAAAACAAATTGTGAAATCACAGGACGACACTAAGGAATATTGCATCACTCTCCTCCCTGCCTCAACACCCCCACTTCCATTTTCTGCTCAAAAGATTTCCTAATATCTGAGAGCATCATCAGTGTATGCTGGCATTTAAAAAGGCTGAAATGTTTTTTAAAGCTTCCAAAGCATTTAACCTTAAAAATCATATATGGAACAAATTTACTACTGAAAGTTAATCTCAGATATGTTGGTGTCTTTTATTTATTTATTTTTTGACATAGAATCTTGCTCTGTTGTCCAAGCTGGAGGGCAATGGAACGATCATGGCTCATTGCAACTTCGACCTTCTGAGCTCAAGAGATTCTCCTTCCTCAGCCTCAAAAGTAGCTGGGAGCACAAGCACACACCACTACACTCAGCTAATTTTTTATTTTTTGTAGAGACATAGTTTTGCTATGTTGCGCAGGCTGGTCTCAAACTCATGGCCTCAAGCAATCCTTCCACTTCGGCCTCCCAAAGGGCTAGGATTACAGGGCTGAGCCACCATACCAAGCCTTTTTGCGTCTTATTCCATTTGAAGCACAACTGAAAGGAACACTGTTTTGTCATCAAAACAATATTAAGATGGCATTTCTTTTATTTTACATGTTGTTTTTACTATTTTGGTAAGTAGGAAACAAAGAAGTAAAGTTGGTTCTAGTAATGGAGTTGGTTCTAGTAATTTAAAACTAACAGTAGAAGAAAATCACAATGCTGTCAGTTCCAGCTGCCTTTACAGGAAGAACGATCATAAATTCATTCTCATTGGTGGATGCATTGCCAACTAGAGGCAGGCCCAACACAGCTTCTTCTGTCAGAGAGGCCCAAAGCGGAAAATTTCAGATAGATTTGCTGTGTTACAGTCAACGGATACAGCCCCAAACAGAATGCTGTTCACACTGAATTTTGACATTTTACTCAACAAACTATCATTAGTATCTGCTATATTAGCTATTATTGTTATTACTATTGTCAGCTTTGGCCATTATTATATTTCCAATACAGAGATGAGTGCTCAACACATAGAAGGCAATCAGTATGTATTTATTAAATGAATGAGTAGGTGACTTAATCAAGAGATAAGAATTACTACTTAAAGAAGAGTAATTTTGCCCTTGTTTTACTGTGTAAAAATAGTGCTTAATAACTAGCTATACTTATTTTCTTTCAGAACCTTCTTTGCTAAAACTTTACTTTTCTTCTGTCTCTACTGCTTAGAGTCAGTGAGGCCACACACTCAGGTTCAGGTTGATTTTCTTCCTATTTGTGGATGTCATCTATGTATCTGCCTTTTTAGGCAGTGAAATCATTCCAAAAGTTCTTGTTGACTGCAAGAGCTTGAAGGCTCTTTATTTGTAAGGGGATGAGAATACTGGCATCCATTCTGTCTTATTTAGTGACTGAAATGTGTGACACTGAACAAGGGCTTTATCCTCGGGTTGCCTCTGTTTATCCATCTGGAAAAAGAGAAGGACAATACTCACTTGTCTGGTATGGAAGCGATTGCCAAGGACTTTGTGATCCCCACAGAGAAGGTGACATTTTAGTTGCTACATATTATAAATGTTTTCCTTTCATTAATTAGGTGTTCAGATACAGATATTGAACAAAAAATAAAAAAGCAGAGATACTCATATAGATTTTAATAATATGTACATGCCTCCTTTATGTGTTAACTTTACATTTGATTACTATTTTTTTCTTCTTTTGAGACAGAGTTTCACTCTGTCACCCAGGCTGGAGCGCAATGGTGTGATTTTGGCTCACTGCAACCTCCACCTCCCAGGTTCAAGCAATTCTCATGCCTCAGCCTCCTGAGTAGTAGCTGGGACTACAGACATGCACCACCACACCTGGCTAATCTTCTGTATTTTTAGTAGAGAGGGGGTTTTGCCATGTTGGCGAGGCTGGTCTCGAACTCCTAACCTCGTGTGATCCACAAACCTTGGACTCCCAAAGTGCTGGAATTACAGGTGTGAGCCACCACGCCCGGCCAACACTTGATTATTCTTTAATCTACAATCACAGAGACCATTTAGTCCAGTATTTCTTAAACAGGTCGTGCCTACATTCCCCTGTGTAATTTTTAAGTCTGCACATGCCCTGGCCCCACTTTATTTTCCCCTGGTTAAGAACCAGGGATCAGGACCAATCTCTCTTTTTTTTTAAGAAGTAGAACACTGAGAGGCAGCTGGTAAGTGTAGCATCAGGACAAAAATCCTTATCTTCTGACATCTTCTGATGGGTTTTGTTCCTGTACAATATGAAATATCAATTTATTTGAATTTATTTGTTTGTATTGATATATTTTAAGGTAACTTACTTTTTTTTTTTTTTTTCTGGAGACGGAGTTTTGCTCTTGTTGCCCAGGCTGGAGTGCAATGGCACGATGTCAGTTCACTGCAGCCTCTGTCTCCCAAGTTCAAGCGATTCTCCTGCCTCAGCCTCCTGAGTAGCTGGGGTTACAGGCATGCTCTACCATGCTCGGCTAACTGTGTATTTTTAGTAGAGATAAGGTTTCACCATGTTGGTCAGGCTGGTCTCAAACTCCTGACCTCAGGTAATCTTCCTGCCTCGGCCTCCCAAAGTGCTGGGATTACAAGAATTAGCCACCTTGCCTGGCCAAGCTAACTTTCTGTATACACATTGGCAGTAACCATTGAAAACTTGTCTGCTCTGCTTTATAGTTCATAACTATGTTTTCCCCTTTCCATTTCTTCTCTAATCTATAAAAGCTTCTGAGAGTCACCCTGGTGGAAATAAATTCAACCTTTCATAAATATTCAAAGCACATGTAACCTGTATTATATTCAGGTATTTATCAATCAGTATCATTCTGCTTTAAAGAATTTTTGTCTTCCTTTCTCTAGTTCTCCAAGTCATGAACTCCTGGAAACAGAAGTCAACACACACATTGTCCTTGGAACAACAACAACAAAATAAAAGCTTATGTACTAGGCAATGTGTTAGACCAGTGGTTCTCAAACTTTAACAATCATCAGAATCACCTGGGGATTAATCACCTAAGTACTTGTTAAAGTACTTAGTCCTGGATCCCATTCCCAGAGTTTCTGATTCAATGGGTCTGGTGTGGTAACAGGAATTTGCATTTTTATCACGTTACCAGGTCATGTCATTTTGAAAAACATTCTTCTGCCTGGTCTAAATTTTAATATTTGCTACTGCTCCAGTAAGTACGTTTTATTATTCCCATTTTCTTTTCTTTTCTTTTTTTTTTTTTTGAGATGGAGTCTCACTGTCACCCAGGCTGAAGTGCAGTGGCGCAATCTCGGCTGGCTGCAACCTCTGCCTCCCAGGTTCAAGCGATTCTCCTGCCTCAGTCTCCTGAGTAGCTGGGACTATAGGCACACGCCACCATTCCCGGCTAAGTTTTGTATTTTTAGAGGAGATGGGGTTTCGCCATGTTGGCTAGGCTGGTCTTAAACTTCTAACCTCAGGTGATCTGCCCGCCTGGGCCTCCCAAAGTGCTGGGATTACAGGCAGGAGCCACCGTGCCCGGCCTATTATTCCCCTTTCAAAAGAGTCACACAACTAGGAAATAGAAGAGGTAGGATTGAATCCACCTCGATAGTGATTTGGTCTTCCCCTTAGCACACCCTCCCCTTATTTTAGAGTTTCTCTTATATATTATAAGCTCTCAAGAAATGTACACAGGATAGCCGGGTGTGTTGTCAAGCCTGTAGTCCCAGCTACTCGGGAAGCTGAGGCAGGAAGATCACTTGAGCCCAGGAGTTCAAGGCTACAGAAAGCCATGATCTCCATGATCAAGCCACTGCAATCCAGCCTGGGTGGCCCAGTGAGACCCCGACTCTAAAAAACGGAGAGACAGAAATGTACACAGGAGGTCACTGAATTGTTAGACCTGGAGATAGGCTTTTGCCTAGGTTCAATTGTGATACTGGGCAAATTACATAACCTTCCTCCCAGCACATGCCTCAATTTTCTCATCTGTGAATTGGAAATTCATAGTATTTACCTGTAGTACACATTGTAGTTGACTCCCCAAAATTCAATCTATTCCTCTTCCACCTTATAGCAATCAATGTGGTTCAAGGAATTGCCACAGCTCTGAGAGTAAATTCTAATGAATTCGAATCATTCCAGATAACCCTAATCTTCTGTATGAGCCTTAGTTGATTACACAATAGTATTCCTTCCCACCTCCTAATAGCTACTGTTTAGTAGCTAAGCAACTGACTAAAGTTAAACTGACTAAAGTTAAGCTAACTAAAGTTATAAGGAGGAGAAGGATTTTTTTTTCACTTTTTTCGTTGTCTGTAGAGGCATTCTCTCTCCTTTGCTCAACATAAATAAGGAGGTAGGGTCTGATGGCCCAACCTGCAGAGAGGAGTTGATGTGAAGAGGAATCCAACACTGGACGTCAGGATAGAGGCAGAACCTGGGGACCTGGAGACAAGGCAGACATACAGGATTCATCAGCCAAACCTGAAGATGCCTTCTCTCTAGACTCTCAGTTATTCGAGCCAAAAAATGCCCCATTGTTTTAGTCAATTGGAGTTTGTTGTTTTTTTCCTTCCTGTAACTCATAGTCAAACACTCTGATAACCTATGACAAAGGATTAGTATACAATTAAATGAAGTAATGTATAAAGAGGTTGGGCATACAATAAAGACTTACCTCATGTGGGCTAAAACCACTATCAAGGCAGTTTCTAGGCCCAAGAGCACAAGTGACCTTAAATGCCATTGAAAGCTCCCTTGGAGGTGTTCTCACCAGGAGGATTAGAGAAGCCAAAACCACCAGGTGAGTATCTCTGTCAATGATAGACAACTTGGCTGTAACAGGAAAAGGGTCTAGAATTTATGGGATTATGGAACAACGAATAGAATTAACTTTAGAAAGGAGATTTACAAAATAAGTAGCAGGTATGGATATTGTTAGTCCGTAGCTGATTAAGGCTCTGATTAAGTGAATTGCCCCAAGCCTCATAGCAGACATGGGCCTCGTCCAGACTTACAGCTCATATTACTTGCAGCGGACGTCTGTTCTCTTGGCAGTCCAGCAGGCCACCTTTTCCTTCAGGGCACTGCTCTCCCACTGCATTACACATGTGACTTGTTTGGGGCTGCCAAAATATATTCGGTTGTCTTTTTTTTTTTTTTCAGTAAGCTAATACAAAATTATTGTTTCTTCAATAATTACTTTGCATTTATTGTCATCATTTCACTCCCAAATGTATCAAAATTAAAGTTTAAAAGGAAGGAAAAAAAGGATAACTAGAAGATATGATTACCTTTTAGTCATAGATAGTTTCATTATGTTATCTTTTAGGGTCTGGAATACACTAACCAGTGTATTAGACAAAAATTTTATGAGAATTGGTTAAAGATATAAGCAAGAAATTTGTTTGGAAAAAAAAAAGCCATTATTTTGAGAGTAAATACTAGGGAGGAAGAAGCTTGCAAGCCACCCAAATATGGCCTGGACTCTGGCGTGTGTGTGTGTGTGCTGGGGAGTGTCTTGGTGGTGGACTCTGGCGTGTGTGTGCATGTTGGGGAGTGTCTTGCTGGTGGACTCTGGTGTGTGTGTGCATGTTGGGGAGTGTCTTGGTGGTCTTGGTGGTGGACTCTGTGTGTGTGTGTGTGCTGGGGAGTGTTTTGTGGTGACTCTGTGTGTGTGCGTGCTGGGGAGTGTCTTGGTGGTGGACCCTGGTGTGCGTGCGCAGTGTTGGGGAGGTCTTGGTGGTGGACTTGGTGTGTGTGCGTGTGTTGGGAGTGTCTTGGTGGTGGACTCTGGTGTGTGTGTGTGTGCTGGGGAGTGTCTTGGTGGCGATATTGTGTCATTGCTTCATTTCTGGCACTCAGTCACTACTCAAGAAAACCAGATTGAAAATTTGGAATCTGCGCTTCAGTGAATTGAAACTGGCCTCCAGTCACTAAGGAAAAAATCAAAACAAAACACATAAGAATTTAGAGACAATATTTTTCTGCCAAAAAATAATTTTTCCTTGATGCTATTTCTTATTTGGGTCAATACTCCAACGGAAAAACTAGATAGATTGGTCAAGAGTTCAATATAATTTTCTGTGACATTTGAACTAAAGTAACATCATAAAAACTTAAACACAGGAAATTGTATCCTCTCCTGCCGATGTATGTGTGACTATTTGTCTCTCTTAAAAGAAAGTAGAAGAGAATTAATTGAATGGTATTCTGTTTTATTTGAAACGTTAAGTCTCAAACTAATTTATTTATTCAATAAATATTTATTAAGCACCTATTACATGCCGGTACTATATGCCATGTTTAGATGCTTGGGATACATTAATGAGCAAAACAAAACCAGTAGCAAACTTGAATATGCAGATAAGGGTTTAAACTATTGTTGGCATGGGCTAGGCGCAATGGATCACGTCTGTAATCCTAGCACTTTGGGAGGCTAATGTGCGAGGATCACTTGAGGTCAGAAGTTTGAGACCAACCTGGGCAACATAGTGAGACCCTCATCTCTATTTAAAGAAAAAAGAAAAAATATTATTGTTGGCACGGTCATAGAAATGGGAACAGTAGACACTGGGGAATACAAGAGTGGGGAAGGAAGTGAGGTAAGGGTTGAAAAAAACTATCTGTTGGGTACTATACTGACTACCTGGATAACAGATTTGATTCATGTATACTCCAAACCTCAGCATGATGCAATATACCCGGGTAACAAACCTGCACGTGTATCCCCTGATTCTAAAATAAAAGTTCAAAAAATAAAAATAAAATAAAAATCATTGGACTTCTGAGACTCATTTGTGAACCAATTTATTTTCTTGCTATTATTGCTATCATATTTCTTGGCTAAACAGCTGTTATAACTGCCTCAATTTTGAAAATATCAGGGGTTTTTTGTTTGTTTTTGAGATGGAGTTTTGCTCTGTCACCCAGGCTGGAATGCAATTGTATGATCTCAGCTCACTGCAACCTCCGCCTCCCAGGTTTAAGCAATTCTCCTGCCTCAGCCTCCCAAGTAGCTGGAATTACAGGTACATGACAACATGCCTGGCTAATTTTTTGTATTTTTTGTATTTTTGGTAGAGATGAGGGTTCACCATGTTGGCCAGGCTGGTCTCGAACTCCCGACCTCCAGTGATCTGCCCGCCTCAGCCTCCCAAAGTGCTGTGATTACAGGCATGAGCCACCACTCCCGGCCTCAAAATATCAATTAGAATCTAGCTGCCTGCCCTTTGTTGGGCCAAATGATAATGATAGGTGAGAAGAACTGGGAAACTTAGAGGAGGTTACACAGATCTTTACAAAAACAGAGGGGCTGACTCTGGGATAATATGGAGGATACTGGGGAAGAAATGTATTATTCAAGTGAGGAAGAATCTACATAAAAGAAGAGATTGAGATTTCTTCTTTTTCTTTCTTTCTTTTTTTTTTTTTTGAGACAGAGTCTCACCTAGGCTGGAGTGCAGTGGTGTGATCTCAGCCTGCTGCAACCTCAGCCCTGCCAGGTTCAAGCAATTCTCCTGCCTCAGCCTCCTGCATAGCTGGGATATAGGCAGAGTCTCCCTTTGTTGCCCAGGCTGGTCTCAAATTCCTGGACTCAAGCAATCCGCCCACCTTGACCTCTCAAAGAGCCGGGATTACATGCATAGGCCACTGTAACTAGCCCAGTTTTCTGTTTTTTGTTAGTCAAATGATGATAGGCGAGGAGAAGTGGGGAAACTTACAAGTTACACTGATCTTTATGAAAACAGGTGGGCCGACTCTGGGATAATTCAAGTCACAACTCTTCTGTGGGGTGATTAGATTGCTTGCTCAACATTACACAGCTCTTCAGCCATTCTTGGATGCATCTGTTGGGCATGGACCACTAGAGGAATAATAGATGCTCTATCATTAGGGATTCTGATCTATTCTGAGGAGAACAAACAGCCTTTTACTCTCATTACCAATTCTCAGGACCTCTACCTAGTTCAGAAGAGGCCTCCTCCGGTTAAGAGACCACGTGCTGGCAGGGTGCGGCGTTCACGCCTGTAATCCTAACGCATTAACAGACCGAGGCAGGAGAATTGCTCAACCCTAGGATTTCAAGACCAGTCTGGCCAACAGAGTGAGACTCTTATCTACAAAAAAAAAATTGAAAATTAGCTGGGTGTGGTGGTGTGCCCCAGTGCCCACACCTGTAGTCCCTACCTTGGGAGGTCGAGGCTGCAGTGAGCTGTGATCAAACCACCACTCTCCAGCTTGGGCAACAGAGCAAGACCCTGTCCCAAAAAAAACAAAAAACAAAAAGAAACCCCAAACATATGTAAGCATATTCATCTACAAAAAAATTGTTTTAAAATTAAAAAATAAAAATAAAATAAACAACAACAACAAAAAGAAAGCAACCAAGAGACCACATGTGTTCTGAGGTCCTGAGGTACTGCAGAGTCTCCAGACCCACCTAAGAGCAGAAACTGTTAGTCTGTTTGAAAATCTAATTACAGAAGGAAACAAGTACCTTGGTGCTTTTGTCTTTGCTTGCAAATACAACAAAATATTAATGGTAACTTCTTTATTTTTTTCTTTTCTTTTCTTTTTTTTTTTTGAGACAGAGTCTCACTCTGTTGCCCAGACTGGAGTGCAGTGACATGATCTCAACTCACTGCAGCCTCCGCCTCTTGGGTTCCAGCAATTCTCCTGCCTCAGCCTCCCAGGTAGCTAGGATTACAGGCGTGCACCACCACGCCCAGCTGATTTTTGTATTTTTAGTAGAGACGGGGTTTCACCATGTTGGCCAGGCTGGCCTACGAACTCCTGACCTCAGGTGATCAGCCTGCTTCGGCCTCCCAAAGTGCTAGGATTACAGGCGTGAGCCACTGTGCTGTCCATAATTTCTTTCTCTTCCTTTTTCTGCTTCTTTCTTCCCTTCCTTTCTCCCTTCTTCCCACCCTTCTTTCTTTCCTTCCTCCATCCTTTCTTCCTCCCCTCCTTCTTTCTTTTCCTGTATCTATTCAACAAACAAGTATTTAGAGCAGGAGTCTTCAATCTTTTGGCTTCCCTGGGCCACATAGAAGAATTGTCTTGGGCCACACATAAAATACATTAACACTAACAATAGCTGATGGACTAAAACACATACACACAAATCTTATAATGTTTTAAGAAAGTGTACAAATTTGTGTTTGGCTGCATTCAAAGCCATCCTGGGCCACATGTGGCCCGTGGGCCTTGGGTTGGACAAGCCTGATTTAGAGGTGCTTTATGCAAGGCCAGGTGCTAGATGCTGGGGTTGCATGGTGAACAGAGGAAGGTCCCTGCCCCGAGAGACAGAGCATAATTCCCTTATGGTGTGGAACACATGAGCCATGAGGTCAGGAGCTGTGGGGTCTTGTTCACCACTCTATCCTCTACTCCTTCTTAGCACAGCACATGGCAATAAGTACATGCTCAGAAATATGTTGAGTGAGTGAATACAAGTTGAGTGCTGCTTCACTGAATAAGGGGTGCTCTTGAAGTCCCTCAGCTGGGAAATGCCACCCTGCAGACTGCCCAAGTTCCCGTCAGGATAAACAGAACCAGTGTACATTCAGATCTTAAGAGTGGTCATCCGGAATACATACCTTATGAAAAAGTAAGGCTATTCAGGTTCAGTAATGATACACTTGGTTTGCAAATAACACATGTTCGTTTTCATGTTGCTAAAGACTCCTTGCTAGGAAACGAAACACTTGTAATTTAATATGCAATGTTCTCAAGAGTCTGAGGCCAAACCACCTCAAGCTGTGAATGCCTTGGCTCTGAAGAGCCAGTCAGGGTCAGGGCAGGGCAGCACTTGGCCTGATGCTCCTCCAGAATAAACCAAACAGCCACAGGAAGTGGTTTCCGTGATTCAGTAGGTGGCACACTTCCTTTTGAGTCAGAACTGAATCACAGCTGTGAGAGGCGAAAAAGACCTATTTCTTTATCCCATACTTTTTCCCTTTTCCCAGTGGTAAATTTATCACGAACTGTCATATAATGTATCCTGTTTAGTTTAGCGTATTTAAGCAAACAAAAAAAATTTGGCAAATCAACTATGGGGAAGCAAGAAAGGAGGGGGAAACACGGCCGACTGAAATGAATCCAAGTGTCATTATGTCGTCACAGGGCCATATTCTCAGAGGTGATTGAAAGAAATGCCACAGTGATTTTGCTGGGGTCATTCAGGCCCCTGGTTCTCTCAACTGGAACCTGACCCATTTCTAGTGAAAGCAGTTAGATCACACTTACATAAACTGTGTTGCTTCAAATGGGCCTGCCCTCCTCTTCACTCACTGACCCTGGCTTGCTCCTTGGCATGTCTGCTGGAAGGCCATTCTCTGTCTGTCCCAGGCATGGCCCTAGTTCAGCTGCGGGTGAAATGATCCTGTTCTGAATGTACTGAATGTGGCTGGCAATGCTGGAAATTGTTGTGAGGCTTAAGGAAAAACCCCATAGATATCAACAAGTCATAAAAACAGGCGTATTTTCTCTTCGTCTCTTTCCCACTGTGTGTTTTATTCTTCAATATGAACAGTTCTGGGAATGTAAATGTATTTAACAATATTTTCCTCTGATGAACTAGATTTTAGTATAATTTGTGGCTTCCTTCCATACCAATTTGTTCATATTGATAGCATGCTTCAGAACAAAGCTTCAGAGACTCAGGCTATACATCCTATAACACTCTTGGAAGACCAATAATCAGACTGGAACCAGAAATCTTATTGCCATGTTAATATTTCATTTTCCTTCTGTGAAATAGTCCACTAAGGTAAAGAACACAAGATTCAAAGTCACATAGACCCATGTACATATTCAATCTACACAAAAGTTTGTGGAGCTGTGTGATCTTCAATAGGTCTCTTAACCTCTCTGAGCCATAATTTCCTCAGTCTAAAAACTGGGATAATAACATAAGGCCAACATTACAGTGAGAATTAAATAAAACTTTTACATAGTGTCTAGGACAGCTCCTAGCTCATATTTAGTGTTTAAAATAAGCTTCTGACCTTTCTCTTTATTTACAATACCTTTCCATTGGGAGATAAGGACAGCATTTGGACACAACTGTACGGGCATGCTAAGTCTCATCCTTCCAAAGATGTCAGTCATATTCAGCTCCTTTGGCAGTTTCATCAACAGCACCTGTAGCACATGTGATATCAAACAGCAAGTCAGGTTCCTTAATAAAGCAATAAAGAAGGTCAGCCAGGATGTAGGCTTTAAAACCAAGGCCAGCTCCTCTGGGCAGGACAGTTGTGGCTGATGGATGACAGTCAAATGTAATGGGAGTCCTCATTTGACATACTGAAGGGAGCACCTCAAGGATGGTCAGGGAAAAGAACCATCAACAGTACTCACCACCAAAGCAGCAGTGAGTGCCCAGGTCAAACTGGACAAGGGCTGGCAGACAGGTGGAAATGCGAATACATCGTTAGATTTGAAAAGCCCTTTGGCCGGGCGCGGTGGCTCACGCCTGTAATCCCAGCACTTCAGGAGGCCGAGGCGGGTGGATCACGAGGTCAGGAGATCGAGACCATCCTGGCTAACAAGGTGAAACCCCGTCTCTACTAAAAATACAAAAAATTAGCCAGGTGTGGTGGCGGGCGCCTGTAGTCCCAGCTACTCAGGAGGCTGAGGCAGGAGAACTGTGTGAAACTGGGAGGCGGAGCTTGCAGTGAACCGAGATCGCGCCACTGCACTCCAGCCTGGGTGACAGAGCGAAACTCTGTCTCCAAAAAAAAAAAAAAAAGAAAAGTCCTTTTAAAATGTCCATCCTCCCACAGCCCTTAGAAGCCTCCCACGTCCCCCTACTTCCTCCCAAATGGCATATAAAAAGGGTAATGGCTTTTAGACAAAGGCAGTGGTATTCCCCAAACAGTTACGGTCCAGAACATCATCTTGTATATATGTCTTAGAGCTATCCCACTGTGTATGGGGGGTTCCTGATTACTTGACAAACTCTTCTGCTAGACAAACTCCTGAAGACAAGGAGTGGGTCTTATTCATCCTTTAGCCAAACCTTACCTGCAGCTCAGCATGTAGCCCGTGGCACATGCTCAACCAGTTTTGTTAACGTGAGAGAAACACAAGAAAGCCAAGTCAGAAATACCATTGATGCTGTTAGAAAACTTCAAGGAGGAATTGGTGGTCTCTGGTGCCAAGGTCCCATATGAGTTCCAGCTGGGTGAGTTTCTTGTGAGGAAAGGAGCCAGAAGTCAGAACCCATAGTGTGACGCTATGAGAGAAAAGAGGATGAAAGCTGTTTTAAAATTCACCTGTCTAAGGCAATCCAGGCTTGACACAGGATTTCTGGAGGTCTGGGCATTGTCTGAGAGGAGTGTTGATTGTATGTCTCCTGGAGGCTTCTGTTTAAATAACTGCCAGAGCAGGATGACTCAGCAGCCGGAGGAAGAGATGCTCTTGATCTGCCTCCCTCTTTAAGTGACAAATCACATTGCCCTGGGTGTCTGTGGCAGTCTCTGATATGACACACTTCTTCCTGCCAGCCCATCAGCCAGGGTGGCAAGTCACAGTTACTAATCTGGAGACTGACCAAAATTGCTGACAGGCATGATTCCATGCTCTAAGTGTGGAGAATGAGCTTTAAAATGAACTCTTATCAATAGATTTTTGTTTCTTTTTTTTTTCTTTTATTTACTTCTTTTGCAGGGACAGGTCTTGGCTCGGCGGGCTGGGTGCTTGGTGGTGCGTCTCGGCACTGCAGCCTCCACCTCCTGGGTTCACTGCAACCTCCACCTCCTGGGTTCAAGTGATGCTCCTGCCTCAGCCTCCCTAGTAGCTGGGACTACAGTCGCATGTCACCATGCCCAGCTAATTTTTGCAATTTTAGTAGAGACGTGGTTTCACCATGTTGCCCAGGCTTCTCCTGAACTCCTTACCTCAGGTGATCCACCCACCTCAGCCTTCCAAAGTGCTGCGATTACAGGCGTGAGCTACCACGCCTGGCCTACATTTTGTTTCTGAGACTGAATCTCACTCTGTTGCCCAGGCTGGAGTGCAGTGGTGTGATCTTGGCTCAATGCAACCTCTGCCTCTTGGGTTCAAGCGATTCCCTTGCTTCAGCTTCCTGGGTACCTGGGATTACAGGTGCCCGCCACCACACCTGGCTATTTGTACTTTTAGTAAAAACAGACTTTCACCATGTTGGCCAGGCTGGTCTCAAACTGCTGCCCTCAAGTGATCCGCTCGCCTCGGCCTCCGAAAGTGCTGGGATTCTAGGCGTGAGCCATGCCACTCAGCCTTGTTTCTGAAATTTAGAGACTGATTTTACATTTCTAGTCTGTCTCCATATGAAAGACTCTCTGTCGTCTTCAGGATAAAGTCTAAATTCAGTATCCTGGCCATTAGAGTCCTATAGGAACTTATCTATACCTACCTTCCTAGAAGAATAGAATCTTAATTTGTTTTGCTTTTTCTTCTACTTGATATTGGCTTATTTCTGTTTGTTTCTTTGTTTTTGTCCCTGGCAGATAAATGGCGACAAGACAAAGCTTTAAGAACGTGGCCTAGAGGCCAGGTGTGGTGGCTCACTCCTATAATCCCAGTACTTTGGGAGGCTGAGGCATGCAGATCACTTGAGGTCAGGAGTTGGAGACTGGCCTGACCTAATATGGTGAAACCCCATCTCTACAAAAAATCCAGGTGTGTTGGTGCACTCCTGTAATCCCAGCTACTTGGAGGCTGAGGCAGTAGAATCGCTTGAACCTGGGAGATGGAGGTTGCAGAGAGCCCAGAACACCCCACTGCACTCTAGCCTGGGTGACAGGGAGACTCCTTCTGAAAGGAGAAGAAAGGGAAGGGGAAGGGGAAGAAGGGGAAGGGGAAGAAGGGGAAAGGGAAGGGGGAAAAAAAGAAAAGAGAAAAGTGGCCTAGGAGGAAATCCTACCTGGTAGCTATTTCCTGAGAATTGCAGAAGTTACCATTATTAAAATTTAGTAGGCTGGGTATGGTGGCTCACACCTATAATCCTAGCACTTTGGGAGGCCGAGGTGGGAGGATCTCTTGAGCTCAGGAGTTTAAGACCAGCTCAGGAAAGAGTGACACCCCTGTCCTTATAAAAATATCAAAAAATTAGCTGGACATGGTGGTGTGCACCTGTGTTCCCAGCTACATGGGAGGCTGAGGCTAGAGGGTGACTTAAGCCCAGCAGATGGAGGCTGTGGTGAGCCATGATCATACCACTGCACTCCAGCCTGGGTGACAGAAAGAGACCCTATCTCAATATAAATAAATAAATAATTTAATAGCACAGCACTTTCATGTTGGCCATTAAAAGCAGTATTCTCTAGATCTTTTTGTTTGACAAATGTTGGTCGACTTTCAAGTAGGGATTCAAGGATAGTTTAGATATAAGAATCAAAAACCATACCTGTAGGAACAGAAAACTTAAATTTGTGATTCGGACTAGCTGCTCTGTGCTACGCTTGAAATGAGCTAAACAGGTTTCTAACTTTTTTGTTTGTTTGAGACAGAGTCTCGCTCTGTCACTCAGGCTGGAATGCAGTGGCACGATCTCGGCTCACTGACTCCCAGGTTTAAGCGATTCTCCTGCCTCAGTCTCCCAAGTAGCTGGGATTACAGGCGCACACTGCCACACCTGGCTAATTTTGTATACTTTTTGGTAGAGATGGGGGTTTCACCATGTTGGTCAGGCTGGCCACTTCTGACCTCAAGTGATCTGCCTGCCTTGGCTTCCCATAAGTGCTGGGATTACAGGCTTGCACCACCACACCCAGCTGGTCTCTAGCATATTTTTAAGCATTATAAATGCTTTAATTTGTCTGCAGGGCTGATTCAAATTTCAGATTATGCTTTTGCAACCCCTGGTTCAGATTAAGGGAATGACAATCCACACTACCCACAACCCCACTATTCACCTCTACGCCATCCTTCCTACTCACTGCAAACCATTCTCTAACATGAACTTCCTCCGCTACATCAGTATTGTCTATGGCGAACAAGGACTTTGGGTCACACATTTTGTGTTTCCTCGGAGTTTACTTCAGTGGGACCTGTCCATGCTGTGGTGCTTAACACCATTGATTTGATTTGACTTTGAAAGAAGAGCTCTCCACTTACCTCCAATCTCTGCAGATTCCACTCAAGGATAATTGTGAATTGTGGTTTTTTCATTTACCCCCCAGAGTTTTCATTGTTAGCCTAATTATTATTTGCAATATTAATTTCTTTTGGCAGGCAGTAGCAATTTTACAAATCTCTTTTGGAGCCCAGAGAGAAGTGTTTCCACTTGAGATAAATGTTTGGGTAACAACAATGAAGAGAAAATATTCAGACTTTTTGTGATTCTAATTCACTTGCAAGTTTTACTTTTTCTGCTTTGAGATTTTCTGTAGCTATGAGTCCTTAGGAAATCCACTTTGGTTTCCTTATAATAATTTTAAACAGTATTTTAAAATGAAACAAAGTAAAACAACATGTTGTTTCATCAGTTTATTGTAGACATGTAAATATACATATATAAGACCAAGCGCAGCGGCTCACACCATTACACTCCAATCTGGGCAATAGAGTGAGACTCTATTTCAAAACAAACAAACAAACAAACTGTAGATAAGCACACAGAAGAAACTCTGAAACATCTATAATCTCACAACCAAGCAATAATAATGGTAGATATTCTGGAGTACACACTTTACAAAGTTGTTTGTTTGTTTGTTTGTTTGTTTGTTTTTGGAGTTGGAGGTGAGGAGGGGTTGAGAAGGTGAAGTTGGAGGTGAGGTTTTTGTTGTTGTTGTTGTTTGAAGCAGGGTCTCACTCTGTGGCCCAGGCTGGAGTGCAGGCGGCTATCTGGGTTCACTGCAGCCTCGTCCTTCCTGGGCTCAAGTGATCCTCCCATTTCAGCCTCCTGAGTAGCTGAGTAGCTGTGACTACAGGGGTGTGCCACCACGCTCAGCTGAATTTTTTTTTTTTTCTTGTATTTTGTAGAGATGGGGTTTCATATGTTGCCTAGGCTGGTCTTGAATTCCCGAGCTCAAGCGATCTGCCCGCCTCAGCTTCCCAAAGTGCTGGCATTATAGGAGTGTGTCACTGTGCCCAGCCATTAGAGTTTTACCTTGTATAAGGAATACTGATCATGCTAGTTTGTTACCTACTTTTCAAATTGAATAATAGATGGCACACCCTTTTCTATAGTGATTTAATTGCTCTAACAATTTTTTTTTGCTATAACAATTTATTCTTTTATGGCTTCATAATATATTTAACCAAACCTTATATTTCCCATTGCTATATAATGCTACGAAGACACTTTTGTAAATAAATGTATTTTATTTTATTTTATTTTATTTATTATTATTATACTTTAAGTTCTAGGGTACATGTGCATAACGTGCAGGTTTGTTACATATGTATACTTGTGCGATGTTGCTGTGCTGCACCCATCAACTCGTCAGCACCCATCAACTCGTCATTTACATCAGGTATAACTCCCAATGCAATCCCTCCCCCCTCCCCTCTCCCCCCTCCCCATGATAGGCCCCGGTGTGTGATGTTCCCCTTCCCGAGTCCAAGTGATCTCATTGTTCAGTTCCCACCTATGAGTGAGAACATGCGGTGTTTGGTTTTCTGTTCTTGTGATAGTTTGCTAAGAATGATGGTTTCCAGCTGCATCCATGTCCCTACAAAGGACGCAAATTCATCCTTTTTTATGGCTGCATAGTATTCTATGGTGTATATGTGCCACATTTTCTTAATCCAGTCTGTCACTGATGGACATTTGGGTTGATTCCAAGTCTTTGCTATTGTGAATAGTGCCGCAATAAACATACGTGTGCATGTGTCTTTATAGCAGCATGATTTATCATCCTTTGGGTATATACCCAGTAATGGGATGGCTGGGTCATATGGTACATCTAGTTCTAGATCTTTGAGGAATCGCCATACTGTTTTCCATAATGGTTGAACTAGTTTACAATCCCACCAACAGTGTAAAAGTGTTCCTATTTCTCCACATCCTCTCCAGCACCTGTTGTTTCCTGACTTTTTAATGATTGCCATTCTAACTGGTGTCATATGGTATCTCATTGTGGTTCTGATTTGCATTTCTCTGATGGCCAGTGATGATGAGCATTTTTTCATGTGTCTGTTGGCTGTATGAATGTCTTCTTTTGAGAAATGTCTGTTCATATCCTTTGCCCACTTTTTGATGGGGTTGTTTGTTTTTTTCTTGTAAATTTGTTTGAGTTCTTTGTAGGTTCTGGATATTAGCCCTTTGTCAGATGAGTAGATTGCAAAAATTTTCTCCCATTCTGTAGGTTGCCTGTTCACTCTGATGGTAGTTTCTTTTGCTGTGCAGAAGCTCTTTAGTTTAATTAGATCCCATTTGTCAATTTTGGCTTTTGTTGCCGTTGCTTTTGGTGTTTTAGACATGAAGTCTTTGCCCATGCCTATGTCCTGAATGGTACTATCTAGG